AGAGGACGGAGAGCTGGGGTTCGGCAGAGCTGTCCCCAAGGCCGGGAGCTGGGCGAGCTGGGACCTGCCTGCCCGGGAGAGCCAGGGTACCAACTCGGTGGGGGTGGCAGGGGGGAGGGGAGGGAGGATGTCCCAGGATGCCGGAGGTCATGCTTGGACAACTTGGTTATTTTTATGAATATTGACTCAGGAAGAGGGGGAGGCATCAGGCAGGGGCGGGGCGGGGAGGGGAGATGGACAGGCTGTATCAGGAGGGAACACGCAGATAAGGGACAGGGCAGAAAAGATGGGAGGAGGAGGAGAGAGGCCAGTCCAAAAGGCACTTTCTGGAAGCACTCGCCCCCTCCCGTTTAATCCTCACTGGCCTGTGGGATCCTGTTTTACAGACTGGTAAGCCAGGCACCTTCCTAGGATGCCTCACTGACATTGAATGAGCAGAGGGCAGAGGCCGGAGAAGCCAAGTGAGGCCTCTCTCTCCCAGCCCAGGGACTCGGGGCAGACCCAGGTTTGAAATCACTCATCTTCTCCCAGCTGGGTGTCTCGGCGAGTCCCCGACCCTCAGAGCCCTCTCCTCTGTCAGATGGTGGAAACCCATATTGCGGTTCTAAGGATTGCAGGAGATGACAGAACGAACGCTCTTTGTGCCTTGTCAAGGGCCGCATACACATCCCCGGAGTTGGTGTGAAAACCTCCCCCACTCAGAGGGATCCTCTTTAGTCCGCCCCTCCCTTAGTGAGTTGCCGGGGGATGTGGGGACAGCTTCAGGGACCTTCACATGTAAAGATTTGGTTTTCCTTCAAGGGCCTGGCTTAGGGAGCTCTTGGGGCCACTCAGGCTGGGGCAGTGAAGTAGAGACACGCCCTCAGCTCCTCGACAGACCAAGATACACGTGCAGGCCCGTGGCCCAGACTCCTGTCTCGGTGGGAGGACGGGCCACAAAGACTTCGAGAGACAGAAATGCCCGCGAGGCCCAGTCTGTTGTTCAAACAGCTTAGGGCTAAAAACAGAATAAAGTCACAATAATAACACTGGTACACACACCTGTATATATGTATATATCTAGGCCTGTCTATATAAAGATACATGCGTATATCACACACACATATATGGTTATATCTATAAGAAAGGACCCCCCAAAAAACGGGAATTTTTTTTTAGAGTTGGTCCTCTTGTAGTTCAGACCTTCCCCCCGCTAGATAAGTGTTCTGAGAACCCATCAGTGTCAATGTGTCAGCTAGTGTTGCGGTGAGAGGTTACATTCGGCTTCGGTGAATTTTTGTTTTCTTTTTTTTTTGGAGATCCTTTTAATGCATCTGTCCATTTCGTGATGGGTGATTTACCAGCGCACCTGCCCGCACCTTGCTGAGTGTTCTAGTGGTCTTTGACCAAAACCAGCATGACCCACATGCCCCCTCCCTATTCACCTGATCTCACCCCAAGTGACTTTTTGTTTCCCCAGATGAAAAAAATCCTCAAAGGAAAACATTTTGCCCGTGTGGAAGAGGTGAAACAAAACATGGCAGAAGCACTAAAAGCCATCAAAATTACTGGGTTCAAGCCGGGCGCAGTGGCTCACACCTGTAATCCCAGCACTTTGGGAGGCAGAAGCGAAAGGACTGCCTGAGCCCAGGGGTTCGAAACCAGCCCAGGCAACTTGGCAAGACCTCATCTCTACAATAAATAAAAAAATTAGCCAGGCAGGTGGCGCGCAACTGTGGTTCCAGCTACTTGGAAGGCTGAGCTGGAAGGACATCTGAGCCCAGCAAGCCAAGGCTGCAGTGGCCATGAGCATGCCACTGCACTCCAGCCTGGGCAACAGAGTGAGACTGACTTGAAAAAAAAAAAAATCTGCCAAGTTCAAAAATTGTTTTGAGAAGTGGGAAAAAATTATCGATAGGTGTATTGCATCAAATGGAGAGGACTTTGAAGGTGACTGAAGTTTAAACATGTAAGAATACACAATTTTTTAATAAATAAATTCGGGTTTGGGGAGATTCCCCTCGTATGCCTATCTATATGAATACACACATATATATCACACACAGTTATGTATATATCTATGCCTATCTATATGGATACACACATGTATTTCACCCATATACGTACTTATCTCTGCCTATCTATATGGATGCAGACATATATGCATAGTAAAACAAAATCCACCTTACTAACACTGCTCAAAGAAACCCAAGATGACACAAACAAATGGGGAAAAAAATCTACCTTACTTACAATATGCCACCAGCCCTACGCCAACTTAGCAAGTTACTTAAACCCTTGGTGCCGCTGTCATCCCATCTGAAATGGGGATAGCGTTGGAGGCCCTGCGCCATTCTGAGGAAGATGAGTTGCAGCTTCCCTAGAGCACATGGTGAGCCCTACCACTAGGACACTCAGCAAGGTGTGGGCAGGTGCTCAAGCAGACCCCACCGTGGCCGAGTCCAGGGTCTGAGTCCCCTGCGCTGTACGAGAGAGGGGGGCTCAACCCAGATCAGAAGCCAGCAGGGGAAGAGGATTCTAACCCAGCTGGGGCCCCCAGTCTTGGGGAAGGTGATGGGGAGGTCTTTGGAAGGTCCCTTGGGTGTGCACTGGTTTGGAGGCTGGGCCCCGGTGGGGTCGCCTGAACAGGTCTGCCCTCTGGAAGGCCATCTGGAGCGTCCTGCCAGGTCCTTCTTCAGACTGGCTCCTGTGTTCAGAGAACCTGGCCTTGAGTCGGGGTGGGGGCCTCAATTTCACCAGCCAGGGCTGGCCATCCTCCTCCCCTAGAGGACCACAAAGGCCTGGGAGCCAAGGGACCCCTAGCCACCGTGTGACCCTGGGTGGACGGCCGCACCATTTGAGCCTCAGCTTCCCCATCTGTACAATGGGTCCAATCTCTGTCCCCTCTCAGGGGGGCAAGCCAAACATGTGTGTATGTGCATGCGAACACATACGTGCATATGCCTAGTGCTCTTCCGTGGGGTGGGATGAGGGACCATCCCATTCAAGTCCCTGAGGAAGTCAGTCACCTGGGTCACACCAGGAGATGAAGAGGGCCACCCAGCCAGGCCGCGGCCCACCATGCACTCCAGTTGTTCTCGAGGAAGCAGCCAAACTGCTTACGGGAGGAGGTGAGGGTGGGGGAGGTCCAAGAGCTGAGGCGGTGGGTTTCGACCCAGGACTGCATCATTCTCTGTCCTGGAGAGACCGATGAGCAGAAGCAGAGACGCAGAGAGATCGACTAGCTCAGAGGCAGAAAGAGAAAGAGATGGAGACGTCGGGGGACAGAGAGATCATCAGAAAGGTGCAGAGACACCACGACAAACAGACACAGAGATCCGGGGCAACAGGAGACGCTCAGAGAGGCGGAGAGGGAGAAAGAGAAATAACCCAGAGGCAAAGAGCAAGCGCGGAGAGAGCGACAGCGGGAGGGAGACAGGTGCACAGCCGGCCAGAGAGGCCAGTCACAGCCGCAGAGCAGGGAGCCCAGAGAGGAGGGGCTGCTCCGAGACCCGAAGGCCGGCGGCGGGCAGAGAGCCCGCCAGGCCC